AAAGTTTTTCAAAGTGTCAAAGTTTTCGTCAAAGTTTTTCAAAGTGTCAAAGTTTTCGCCAAAGTTTTTCAAAGTGTCAAAGTTTTCATCAAAGTTTTTCAAAGTGTCAAAGTGTTCGCCAAAGTTTTTTAAAGTGTCAAAGTTTTCAACAAAGTTTTTCAAAGTATCAAACTTTTCGATAAAGTTTTTCAAAGCATCCCAAGTTTTGATAAAGTTTTTTAAATTTTCAAAGTTCTTGATAAAGTTTTTTAAAGTGTCAAAGTCGTCGATTAAGTTTTTCTATGTGTTAAAGTATCCAAGTTTTCGATAAAGTTTTTTAAATTTTCAAAGTTTTCGATAAAGTTTTTCAGAGTGTTAAAGTATCTAAGTTTTCGACAAAATTTTTCAAAGTGTTAAATTTTTTGATAAAGTTTTTCAAAGTATCCAAGTTTTCGATAAAGTTTTACAAAGTATCACAGACTTCGATAATGTTTTTCAAAGTGTCAAAGTTTTCGCCAAAGTTTTTCAAAGTGTCAAAGTTTTCGCCAAAGTTTTTCAAAGTGTCAAAGTTTTCGCAAAGGTTTTCAAAGTGTCAAAGTTTTCGCCAAAGTTTTTCAAAGTGTCAAAGTTTTCGCCAAAGTTTTTCAAAGTGTCAAAGTTTTCGTCAAAGTGTCAAAGTTTTCGCCAAAGTTTTTCAAAGTGTCAAAGTTTTCGCCAAAGTTTTTCAAAGTGTCAAAGTTTTCGCCAAAGTTTTTCAAAGTGTCAAAGTTTTCGTCAAAGTTTTTCAAAGTGTCAAAGTTTTCGCCAAAGTTTTTCAAAGTGTCAAAGTTTTCGCAAAAGTTTTTCAAAGTGTCAAAGTTTTTGCCAAAGTTTTTCAAAGTGTCAAAGTTTTCGTCAAAGTTTTTCAAAGTGTCAAAGTTTTCGTCAAAGTTTTTCAAAGTGTCAAAGTTATCACTATAGTAAATCAAAGTTTTCAAAGTGTCAAAGTTATCACTATAGTTAACTATAGTAAACTATAGTTAACTATAGTTAACTATAGTATTTTTTTGTTAGGGTATTTCCGATTTTGTCGGAAACTTCCGAAAAATTCGGAATCTCGATCCCGATACTTGGGAAGTGATTTCTATTTATTCTTTTCTTTTTTTAATGAACTGAGGATAGGCAGTGCAAGTAAAACCTGTGTACATTTTTTTGATAGTAAATAACTGCGCTCGCCCCAACGGTCGCACCGTAGAACATATTATTTTATTTTATTACATACTGTTTTATTACATTTTGCGTTGTCATTAGTGTAAAAATAAAATAACGCAAAATGTAACAAAGTAAAAGCACGTTATTACATTTTGCGTCGAGATCAACGCAAATATAATAACGCAAAATGAAATAATCTAAAAATCGTTTTATTGCATTTTGCGTAATTTTATTCTACGTTGTTCTTGACGCAAAATGTAATAATGCAAAATGTAAAAAGCCAGGTTTATTACATTTTGCGTTGTTATTACATTTCGCGTTGTAACATATCTCCCTGAACAGAAATAAAAAATTAGCATTTTTAATAAAATTATTGACTATATTTTGATTTTTCAAGGTTTTGTACCTGTTAATTATAAGTCTTGTACTAAAAGTCCGGAAAAATATCCTTCTTTCTATTCTGGATGTGATGCCTGTATTTCCTCAAAGTAACTGAAAGCACGAATTTTCATTGCTAGTGTTGGAAATTTTCAAAATGAAGGAAAAGGGGAGACCTACAGATGCAAATCAACACTACATAACGACTTTTCGGCCTCATGTGTTTCAAAAGCATGAATGACAGTTCCTTGACCGGAAGTCCAAGGGTTACTACACTACGCCAAGTTCTGTATGAAATCAACAGAAATAGAGACAAATCAGTTGTCGCGACATGTTGAAATCAATTAAGTCATTCTTCTGAGGTTTCGACATCATTTTTTCACAAACCAAGTATTGCGAACAATTTGAAACATGATATATTATTGTAGTAGAAATTTCCTTGATAAAATTAATAATATGCAAAATAGTTATCAATCAGATGCTTCCTAGTGTGTTGGCTATGGAACATTAAACTTTGTAGTGACCAAGACAAAGACGATGACTCAGCGTCTTTTGGGACATATAAATACCGGAGAGCACTAGTGTTAAGTCTACAGGTAGCAGTAGAACAGTGCAGATCATCCCTTACAAAAGTAAAATTATTGCAGCAATATTGCTGCTATATTGCGGCAACATTGCGGCAACACATTTTTGTCACCAGAAACAAGCTTTTTGGGTTAGTGAAATATCACCGCTAGCGGCAACAACTTCTGGTGACATTCTGGCAATTCTGCCATAAAAAATGAAATATCACCGCTAGCTGCAACAACTTACGGTGACATTCTGGCAATACTTCCAAAAAAAACTTTCTGGAAACATCTAGGATTACCCATGAGCCATTTGTTGAGCATGCTCAGTCATTTACTTCCTCTTTTTAAATAAAGTGGAGGGAATTCAAAGGCAAGCATGTTTTGCTTCATTACTGACTTGTATCAAGTTGATTAGAGTTATTAATTGTGTACAGTGGGATTAGTCAAGATGAGTAGTAAGACTGCATAGTGTGGAATGACTAGAAAAAAGAATTTAAGCAGAATTAAAGGAATGTGTACTCTGTTTCCATATCATCAGACTTGGTGAGTCAAAACCAATATTCTTTCTGAGATGAATGATTCAATGGAGATAAAATTGGAAAAATTATACAGTGTATGTGTTTCAATTAGTGCGTGTGATGCATGCATACTAGACTTTTATGTCTATATATCCTAGAGTAGCAGGAAAAGATGAATTAAAGCATGTTATTTGAAAACTAATGCAGAGTTGCTGGACATTTTCACAGTGGCATATTAATATTGTTTCTATAAACATTTTTTATGCGCCCGTCTCGTATAGATCGGGGGTACATATTGTTGTCCTGTCTGTTTGTTTGTAAACTTTAACCTTCACCATTTCATTTGAACCAATGATAGATAAAGATTTCATATTTGGTATGTCTACTCCACTAATTAAGTTCTTTCAAATGACATCAAGGTCAATGACCTTGTGACCTTGACTGTGACCTATATGCTAAAAATAGCTTTTTCGAATATTCATCATAACTCAAAATCAATGAGAGATAGGACTTTTTATTTAGCAAGCATAATTCACTAATTAAGCTTTTTCAAAAGACACCTGAAGGTCAATGACCTTGAGACCTTGGCTGTAACCCATATCCTTAAAATAGATTTTTTGAATCTTGGACATAAATCCTGAGCCATAATAGATAGAAAACTTGTATTAAGTATGCACCCTTCATTAATTAAGCTCTTTCAAATAACACCAAGGTAAATGACCTTGGGACCTTGACTGTGACCATATACTTAAAATAGATTTTTTGAAACTTCAACATAACTTTTGAGTAATAAAAGAAAGAGAATTCATATTTGGTATGCACCCTTCACTAATTAAACTCTTTCAAGTAACATCAAGGTCAATGACAATTTGACCTTTACTGTGACCCATATGCTAAAAATAGCCATTTTGATCCTTATGCCATAAATTTTGAACTATAAGAGATAGAGACTCCACTGATTAAGTTCTTTCAAATGACACCACGATCAATGACCTTGTGACCTTGACTGTGACCCATATGCTATAAATAGCTTTTTCAAACTTTATTGCCACCAGGTGCACAGTGTTTCACAAACATATCTTGATTTCCATTATGATGATCAACATAATTTTCTATCTGTTCAAAGAATAGCAGAAGTAGCTATTTCTTATTGACCCTGTGGCTTGCTATTATTTGTTATATTCCTCAGCACAGTTTGTTAATTGTTAGATTGATAGATCATTATTTCTATTAAATACCAATTAATTTATATCTAACTTACATACGAAAAACGATATTGCTGCAATAATGCGGCAATAATGCCGGAAGATGTTGCCAGAAGATCAATATTTTGGTCATTATTTGCAGCAATATTGCCGCAACCCCTTTCTGGCAATATTGCCGCAAAACTAATTAACATACGAGAAACGATATGGCCGCAAAATTGCGGCAATAATGCCGGAAGATGTTACCAGAAGATTAATATTTTGGTCATGATTTGCAACAATATTGCCGCAACCCCTTTCTGGCAATATTCCCAGATAGCAAGACTATGTTGGGCCAACATTGGCAAAAGCTTGTATGGTTGGCGTAGGGGGACCAACGTTGGGCCGACGTTGGACCAATATCACCATGCCAATCTTCTCGACCATGACAGAATTCCTATGTTGGCCCAACGTTGGGCCAACGTTTCCAACTTCCATTCAATTTACTTCCCAAGGAAGGAGGGATGTTGACGTTGGCCAAACGTTGGCCCACTGTTTGTAATACACCCTCAAAGAAAGTGTCTTTTAAAGTTGGTAGTAATATGTTGGCCCAACGTTTGCCCGATGTTTGTAATACAGACTTAAAAAAGTGTCTTTTAAAGTTGGTAGTAGTATGTTGGCCCAACATTGGCCCAATAATTGTAACACATCCTTTAAAAAGTGTCTTTTAAAGTTGGTAGTAGTATGTTGGCCCAACGTTGGCCCAATAATTGTAACACATCCTTTAAAAAGTGTCTTATCAAATTGGTAGTAGTATGTTGGCCCAACGTTGGCCCAATGTTTGTTATACACCCTTAATGTATCAATTTGGTAGTATATTGTAGTATGTTGGTCCAATGACAGCACGAGTGTTCTTTTGTTTAGGTGTTTCAAAGATGGGATATTTATATTAATATATTGGGCCAACGCTGGCCCAATTATTATACTGTCAACTAAAGATGGTGTCAATTTTAGCTGCTGAGCTGATATTGTATGTCCATGCTTTTAATTGGATGACTGTTTTTGTTTAGAGCTGATATATTCAACATTTTAAATTTTAACTTAAGTGATCACAGCACCAAAGAGTGTTTCATCATATATTTTTTGAATTGTGCACATGCATGATTATTTATTTGAAATAAAACCCTTAAAATTATGAATTTTTTCATGAGCGTTGTATTTATGAGAATTTAGAGAAAACTGAATACGTTTTCAGGAACAGGATGTGAATGAAGCCTAGATATACATAAATCAAAATGACACAGCTCTATAATTAAATTGAAACAAAAGTTAGGCGTTCGGTAACACGTGACCAAACTGTGCAGTGAGCTGTCATATTCAATTGCTCACAGGTGGTGATAGACTGAAAATTCAGGGGAAGCAAGAAGAAGTGAAATTTAAATTTGTGGATTATACACTTGCTTTATAGCTGCATTTAGAAGAGATGTAAGTATATTTATTCTTATTTATTCAGGTTAACTGTTAAAATTGATTCGGAATTCATTCATGTCATGTTTTTGCACACAAGCACTGTGAGTTAAGGTTAAATAACATCTTTTAAGTTGTTTCTATCTATCTAATTCTGAAATGTCTATTACAGACACGATTGTAACAAAGAAATTCAGTCAGAGACTGCAAGGAAAACAAATGTTGTGGCGGTAAATAACAATGAAATCGAAGACCATGCATTAAGAAGTGTATGAAGAACGAGTCGGTATGACAAAGATCAAGATGAAGAAAACGGAAGGCGAGGAAGGGACGGAAAAAGAGCCGGAATACAACAAAAGGACAGTAATAAACAGTCATAAAATAGGTTTATGTCAAGAATCACTTAACCAATTGCAAATGTTTCTATGTAATAACTACGTCGGCCCAACAATTTGCCATCTGACAGTAAAAAAAAGGGGTTAATATTGGGCCATCCTAACCAACCAGTTGTTAAGGTTGGCTGTTGGTTGGCATACACTAAAAACTACGTTGGCCCAACAATATGCCATCTGACATTTCAACATAGGGCCAACGTTAGCCCAACCTAACCAAACAGTTGTTAAGGTTGGTTGTTAGTTGGCATACACAAATGACTACGTTGGCCCAACAATATGCCATGTGACATTTCAACAAAGGGCCAACGTTGGGCCAACCTAACCAACCAGTTATTAAGGTTGGCTGTTAGTTGTCATACAATTATATCTACGTTGGCCCAACAATATGCCAACATGTTGGACCAACGTTGGGCCGATGAGCAAAATTACCGTGGGCCAACGTAAGGTTACCAACAATGGGCCAACGTTGGAAAAAAAATTGGGCCAACGTTGGCCCAACTATGTCTTGCTATCTGGGTTGCTGCAAAACTAATTTACATACGAAAAACGATATAGCCGCAATATTGCGGCAATGTATTGTCAGAATGTTGCTGCAATATTGCGGCAATAAAGCCAGAAGATGTTGCCAGAGGGTCAATATTTTGGTAAGGGATGGTTAAAAGGTAAGGAATTTATTGTCATTCTTGTGTTGCTGCAACATGTTTTTTGGCTAAAAAGTGTTGCGTACAATTAAAAACATGAAATATTTTGTTAATTTCTTATTATTATGTTATATTATGTTATAATATATATTCCCTTTTTGGGTGTGTTGTTCTTATAAATCTTTTTCATATTTTATACTAGAGGAAAATCAACCTTCATTGAATATGAATATCCTGAAATTAAAAGAAATATATGTCAGCTTCCCAGCAAATGACCTCTGTTCAGAGGTAAGTAGCATTTTTTGTTAAGTTTTACACATAATCTACTTTAATGCAATTTTTACAGTACAAAATCTTTAAAAATGTTTATGTTACATTTTACACTTTCAAACCCCAAGGTTATGAATATACTTTTTTTTGTATTTCTTAAAAATACAGGTAATTAAAGTAAAATCAGGATTGTTTTTTCTTTGTCTAAGCTAACCGTACTAATATAAAGTGATTTAATTTTATACGTAATCGACTAAATATATGACAAAAATGAGGTCTGCACAAAATGTGTGACTGCACAAAGAACTTTCACATCTACAACTCTTTGGTTTTTTGGTTTATTTGAATTGTATTTAACCCGTATTCTTGCAAAATGGAAATTGTATAAGACCACATCAACTCTGAACATCTTTGATCTCGATCTTTCGATGTTGAATATGTTGCCGATATTTTTTAAAATAAATATATATATATATATATATATATATATATATATATATATATATATATATATATATATATATATATATATATATATATATATATATATATATATATATATATATATATATCCGACCTTATCCTTTAGGTACAATGTCAGATTACTATGTGTACATGTAATCTCATAATATTTTCTATGAGTGTACATTTCAAAAAAATTGTACAGGTTATATTTTTTAACATTTTAAAGCAGTAAAAACGTCGTTAGTATTCTTTGTATTTCAAGTAGAATGAAATTGCAAAGATGACAAGGACAGAAATGAGAAATGCCACAATTTATGCCTAAATCTCAACAGTCTTTACTGCAGAAATGACCGTTATGCAACGTAATCTTGATTCACCAGATACTTGTAGGAAGCCTTCGTCAGGATACGCCAGGCTGTGCGAGCTGGCACTGTGCTCCAAAGTTGCACGTAAATACTTCCCCTGAAGTTGAATGGTCTCAAAAGTATGCTGATGAGGTTGTGCCACATAAATGTCCTCCATGTTTATCTGTCCTAAAAATAACTTAAATAAGTCAAACAAAAACGAAATTAATTCTAAATGTAAAACTATCATTAACTTCTGGTTGGACTCCATACACCGCTTGACGCAGTGGTTATAGCGTCTGCTCTAGTGTCGGGAAGTAAGGAGTTGATCCTTACGTCGCGGTTCGAATCCCACTGTGGGACGTGGAGACCGGTCCTTTAGACAAAACTGTATAAACCGAGGTCCCGTGTCACAGTAGGTGTTGACACAAAAAAAACATCTCTCTCTACTCAATTGCCCTGAGTGCCGAGTAAAGGACAAAATGCAGCTCTCCATCGAGAAGTGGTGGCTTCTCCATATGAGTAAAGAATTCTCGAGAGGGACGTTAAACAGCATATAATCAATCAATCATACTCCATTCGATCATCCGTCTCAAAGTGTGTGAAATTAAAAACCCGGGGTTAATTTCCGTGCACCCTTGATTGAACCATTTATCTGTTTGCAGCACCGATGGAAAATAATTTGGTACATAGAATAATTTTTATTTATTGTCATTTTAAAGATCAGCACGGACATTTATTACACCTATGTTAAAGCTTTTTTCAATGGATCCGGCGTTGAGCAAAGCTATGCAAACTTTAGTACCATTGACGTCATCAGACTCCTTCATGCTATGGTATACGAGACTGTTGGCTATTGCGTTACCTTCAAAGTTAAGAATTTACAGTCATTTTAAGATTAAATAGCATACTAGATGCTCAATAAAATTTATTTAATCATAATTTGATGTACAGAAAAGCAAATCCGTTGCTTAATACACTGATATTATATTGCAGTGACCTAACAATTACCTTATTAGAATGAAAAAGCCATAGTAAAATACTACAAAATTATGTTTAATATGTGACTTCAAAAACATTAAAACAATTAAGATATGTTTGTGAAACACCATGCACCCGGTGGCAACAAAGTTTAAAAAAGCAAGTCTTAGCATATAGGTCACAGCCAAGGCCACGCGATCATTGTCCTTGGTGTCATTTGACAGAACATAATTAGTAGAGAACATGTATTCATACCAAATATGAATATCTCCTACGGTTTAAAATTTATGGCGAAAGTTCGAAAAAGCATATTGGTCACAGTCAAGGTCCCAAGGTCATTGTCCTAGACGTTATTTGAAATGATTTTATAAACCTTTGTTGGCCCATACATTAGCCTATAAAGTTAAAAAGCCTAACATTATAATTTATTGTTTTACTTAACGGTCAAAATTATGTTTGACCGGAGAGCGAGATACTGGACCTGTCGATGAGATTCTGCACTTCTTTCGTCATACTGTTGGTGGGATTAGCTTAATCCACCCGTTCATGTTTGTACAAGAATAGATAGACCGGGTAAACTCTTATGAAATGGTCAATAAACGAGGGTTGTCCAAAAAGTTCGTGGACAATGACATTTTTGTGAAAATAAATGGTTCTTAATATATAAATCTTTTGTATATCAAAATATTTCCTATGAAAAAACAAATTAGAAGAATTTAATTTTTAGGGTTCGAACGTAATATTTTTGTAAAAATCTGGGTCTTTAAAGGTCGTGGATAGTGCGGACGGACCAGTCTGACGTTAAGCTAATTTTATTATAACGTCAAACATTTGGATTTTGACTTAACACATGTTTATGGACACAAACTTCACTTCTTTTTTATGGCGCAACGCACTTCCAAGTGCTAGCAATAATCTTTAAGTATAGATTAAATTTATTTAATTTTTGAAATTCAAAACAATGCACAAAAATTAGCGAGGTCATCTAAATAAACATTTGTTTACACAGACTCCAAGCCCATTACGACGCTGCGCTAGATTTATAACAACATTAAGAATAGAAATCTCCATTTTCAGTAAATTACATGTGTTTTTAAATTCATGTAGTGTCTTCGAATTTGTACACACAGTTGAAAAATCGTATAGACCAATCTATAGTTGATAAACTAAATATATTTCAATAATTTTGAATTGTTTTAACAAATATTTTGTCTCTTAAGTCGTTTCAACCGTAAAAATCCTTTTTTTTTTATTGGACGCTGACCCGTGCGGACGGCCGACGTCGCTTCTCAGCTATGTTAAAGACCGATATGGAAAATGTGACCTTTGCACTGTTTTGATATGTATTGCTTCTTTCAAAAAAAAAAAATTAAAGCGACTGAATACTTGTAGAAAATGTAATATAGCTATCAATAATAGATAGGACTGGGCCGTAGTTATAACCAGTTATATCGCACGTATCAGCTGTTTATCACGTGACTTGAATAAAAATAGAATTGTTAAGATGAATGTAGGAAATGTGGATAGTGCAAGGGCATACGCTTGTTTTTCAAGAAAATAATTGATACACATTAAAAGAGGTTTATATCCTCTACCCAAAAAGTGCTGGGAGCTAGTCAGTGCTGTTTGCGAAGTACTTAAAATTTTGCCGAAAATGCTTATAACAGCTAAAAATTTCCACTTCGATTAAATTCTGTTATAAATAAAATTAATGTTATGCAGACCAGGATCAGCTCCCAGCACTTTTCAAAATATACACTATATGAACAATAAATATTCCAAATTTCAGCTCAAACAAAATAATCTATGCCCTTGCACTTTTGATATAAATCACGAGTACGCTCATCGTTTTAGCGATATTCTCAATATTCCTTATCCCTGTGCAGCTTCAATGCTACTAGATAAATTCATATTCTATACACATTGAATTTAATAAATTATTTTCATTTAGTTTTAATGATTAGGTCGAAAAATTAGCAATGGTATCATATTTATTTAAGCATTCTTGTAATTATTAAACCAGTGAATCTACTCCTCTGGATCACTTGTGCTGCGTCATGTCAAGGCTGATGACGTCATATTTGACAAAAGGCTTTCTTCTATTACTCGACTGTATCGCTATCAAGTATTCAAATTTTACAAGATTTTATGAATAATCGAT